GATACGGAGACAAATTCGGACGGCAATGGAGCAACGAATGGTTCTATATCCATGAGCCGGCCGGAAATAACGCCTATCGATTACGAAATCGGCACGGCCAGTTGCTAAAAAAGGTCTTTAATGGCAATCAACTTAAACACTATCACGAGAGAGAAATGAACACCCCGATCGCAGCGCCTGAAATGGAAAAATTAGATGCATCAATGGAATCCAAACAAAAAGGGAAACAAACAATATAAAAAAAAAAAAAAAAAAAAAAAGAGAAACACGGTTAAAATGATATATAAAAAAAAAAGGGGGAAGAATAATGATAATAACAAAAAAAAAATTAACTAACGCAATGACGATCAACACATGAAAATGTGGTTTGACATCTGAAGATCCGCCGTTGGTCAACGAAACTATAAAAACGAGAAAATTTTAGTCCACGAAGGAACGTCAAAAAGACACACAACACAACATAAAAAAAAAAAAATGAGCAACACCGACAGCATCTGGCAACATGAGGAGATCGTGACCGCTACTCTACAGCTCGCCCGAACACTGCAAAAACATCGGTTTAACGGTGCATTCAACCTTACCGTCGATCAACTAATTCTAGCCGAAAACGGCCAATTGCAATGCATCGACCTCGATACGACGGCCATTCCAAACGAAGTCACAATCGTCGACGAAATTGTTGATGAGGTTGTTAACACTCGTACCGACCCTCGATCACCACGGGTCGAATACTATTTTCATATTGCTTGTCCGTGGGAGGAAAAAGTTGAGCATATTACTTACGACGTCCACCAAGTTCCTGACAACAACCGAACCCAACTGCAAAGGTACTATTATCTCGGCAGCCTCCTATCTGACACGCCTCAGCAATGCAGTCAAAGCCTACAGGCATTCAAGGAGCAAATTGTATCTCAGCAATGGGTCAATTTGCCTTCGTTGAATAGACATTGGCAAATCGGAAAGCGTACTTTCCGATTGTTTCAAAATTACGGGCCGAATAGAATTGGCGACTACTCCATCTTAACACCCGATCGCATCTCACGGCTCAAGGTCCAAGAAATAGAGGAGCTTATCCAACGAATCTAACAATTTCGACGGTGCTCAATTTCAAAGAAGGAACGAATGTTACCGCCGACGAACAAACTTCCTCAATTATGGTTTTTCGGGGGTAAACGGCAGGAAACGAGCCGTGGATGTCGA